ACATCTCCCAACGCAAAAAATACATCTTGAAAAAAGATTTGAAGTACATTTATATTGTGTGGTCATTGATACTAAAACTAAAGTCAATTTAGTTGTGCTACAGTGGTTCTGAGTAATAAGTGATTTGATTGTGATCAAAAGTGAAAGGAATTACCAGAAATATATGCTGAAAAATAATGTAACTTGAGGAATTTCTGCAAGGCCCTAGTCTGAAATTTAAAGTGCACATTAAGGTCTTTTACCTTTTGATAAGTTCACATCATTGATTAAACACAATTTTTGTATTTTATAACTGTATCCATTCTGACATTGATGTTGAAATTCTGTTTGTTCCTTGAAGCTTGATCAAGGATTAGCCTCTGCAGCCAATCTGCTACGTGCTAGCGTCAAAGGCAATCCGACTGCAGTGTGTCGTCACATCCCTATAGTGGTGCCTGGTCTGCTGTCCCTTCTATCATCACCTCTGGCAGCCCCCTACGTTGTTGATACTTTCCTTGACCTCAGGAAATGTGTCTTTCAGAAGGAAGAATATTACACAGGTCAGTCAAGGTCCAGCATACCTGAATGGAATTATTTGTTGCAACTCACAAGTTGAGTAGGTTTTGTGTTATGTCAAAATCTCTTGGCTTCCTCTAATTTAATGCAGTTTTTTTTAACATACAATTTTTCCTCCATTTTATTAAATTCAAAAACTCATTTAAAGCTTTTCAATTTGTCATGAAAAGTTGGCATTTTCCATTGCAAGAGTTTAATTTAAAATTGATAAGATTTGGGATGAGCCAAAAGTGAAAGCACCAGGTCAGTTCTTACAGTTGATTGAGAGTGAACTTGCCATTTTGCCTTATAGTTTATTGGATGCTTTTAAAATTTAGTCCACAAGACCAAAAATAATCACTGTGTGAAAATGTGGCAGAGTATTCTGGGAGAGATGTTGCAAATTCAAGCACAGAAACCCCACAAGCAGAACAACTCACCTCTGTGATAACCCAGTTTTCTTTCATTACAGATAAGTATCTAGAGGTTTATTAAAGCTTTGAAGAGATAGGCATTACAAAAAGTTACAATCCATGTAAAATCGTTTTACAGGAGCTACTGTGGCTTACTGCACCTTGAGACTCTCTAATGTAGCGTGCACCATTGATTTTAACTGGTGTCATGAAGACATTGTTGACATGGCAACCAGAGCTGTGGAAGTCATCTATGGTGGACAGGCATCACAGTCTCAGGAAGATGAAGATGATGACCTAGCTGATGATAGGGGTCAGAATAGTCTTCATTCAAGATGCTTTCCTGCGCCAACCTTTGCTTACTTCTTCCCATTACTGAGCCTTGTACTCAAGAATGGTGGCACTGCCGTGAACAAGGACGAGGCTGTGGTCAACAAAGCCCTTGCAATCATGTCTGCACATGCCCAGTTGCATTGTGCTGATGATCTTGAGGATGAGATTGATGAGGTAGGAGAGACTGATAATGCAATGGATAATATACTAGCCAACAGATAATGTATCA